CCAACTACCAATTAATATCAACTTTTCGCTAAATTATCATATCAAAATCTTCAGAAATGTGAAGATGAGTGTTGTTTTTTATTTATTTATTTATTTTTTTTTTTAAAAAAAAAAAATTATTTATTTATAATACTGAAAGTTTGGGTATCGACATTGATATCGGTATCGATACTTATATGGAATAAAGATAATTAGTTTATTTCGAAAAAGATCTCGTTTAAATTGTAGATTATTTTCTATTGGCCAAGTAGAAAGTCTAAATAAAATCCCTATACCATATGATTTAACCGTGATACTTATCATGACCTTTCTACTGTTTCACTTGTTTCGTTATTAGCCAATGAGAATTGTTTTCATACCTTAACAATATTTGAGGATAGCGTGATTTACATATGTAATTGCATATGATGATCTTCCAAGTATAACCCCATTAGGTTCATAATAAATTCTCAATCATTATTTAATTAAATATGCATGACAATTCAACTGTTTCATAAAGATAATGATGAATTTAATATAAATAAATGCAAATGATTTATATTTGCCTATGTTTTTTTTTTCTACAAATTCCTCCAATAATTGATACTTACAATTTACATTTACTGTCAAGAAGAATCAAAAAAAAAAAAAATGTTTAGAACGATCAGTAAATTTCGTCGTACTACATTTGTAAGCCTAGGAACGGTTGCTACTGCTGGATTATCCTACTACATTTATACTGATCACACCAAAAGATTTATGATGTCCCAAGCATATGCTGATGCAAAAATTTCGTCCATACCTCAACCGTTACGAATTTTACCATCACGTGCTGAAATGATAAATAGTCTTAAACGTTCAGATAAAAGTAAAGATAATGAATATGATTTATTAATAATTGGAGGTGGTGCAACAGGAACAGGCGCAGCATTAGATGCCGCAACGAGAGGATTAAAAGTCGCGTTGGTTGAGCGTGACGATTTTGCTTCAGGGACTTCTTCTCGTTCCACAAAACTTATTCATGGTGGTGTAAGATATCTTGAGAAAGCCGTTTATCAATTAGATTATGAACAATATAAATTGGTTCGTGAAGCGTTACACGAGAGAGCTACGTTTTTACATATTGCTCCATATTTGAGTCATCAGTTACCTATAATGTTACCTCTTTATAGGTAAAATACACTATTCTATTTTTGGCTATTATTTTTTTTT